CCGGCTGGATGCGCTCTCCCTGCTCTGCCTGACGTCTCTGCCCAGCTTCTGCCTGCTTCTGGGGGCTGCAGTGGTGCTGGAGGTGGGGCCCTCCTGGGATGGGGTCCTGCACTACGACAGCACCCTGTGGGGCTGGGTCCTGCTGAGCTGCCTGGGCTCCGTCCTCTACAACCTGGCCACATCCCGTGTCCTGGCCCTCACCTCCGCGCTCACTGTGCACATGCTGGGCAGTGTCACCGTGGTGGGGAACCTGCTGCTGTCACGCCTCGTGTTTGGCACCCGCCTGAGCGGGCTCAGCTACGCAGGCACTGCGCTGGCACTGGCTGGGCTGCTCCTGCTCCACCAGCCCCGGCTCCTCATAAGGCGCTGGGCCCCACGCACCGCACCTGGACACCACGGCCATGAGTAGGGACTGCGCCGGGCTGGGCATGGGAGCGACAGTGGCTGCGGTGCAGCGCACATGGGTGTGCTGAGCTGCACCGTGATGTGTGTGCACGCGTGTGCTGGTGTACATGGCTCTGTGTGCACACGCGTGTGCTGGTGTGCATGGATCTGTGTGCACGTGTGTGATGAGGTGCGCAGTGATGGGAACGCATCTGGTGTGCACGATGCTGTGTGAACATGTCTGGTGTGCACGGTGATGTGTGCATGTGTGTGCTGGCATGCACAGTGATACATGCACATGGGTGTGCTGGCGTACGCAGCTCTGTGTGCACATGGGTGTGCTGAGGTGCACGGTGATGTGCACAGAGCAGTGCTGGTGTGCACAGGTCTGCGTGCACGCGTCTGGTGATGTGCATAGCTCTGTGCACAGCTCTGTGCCCGTGTGCTCCTGTGCACAGCACTGTGTGTACATGTGTTTTCTGGTGTGCGCAGAGCTCTGTGTGTGTGCTGGTGTGCATGGCACAGTGTGCGCATGTGTCGTGGTGTGCTCAGTGCTGTGCACACATGTGTTGATGTACACAGCTCTGCATGTGCAAGGAGGTCCATGCAGAGCTCTGCACGCACAGGCTCTGCCAGTGTGCGTGTGTCTGTGTGTTGCTGTGCTTGCACGGGGCACGTGCTGCTGTGCAGCTCTGTGTGTGCAAGCAGGTCACACGCATGTGAGCGTGTGTGCTCTGTATGTAGGAACATGTCTGTGTGCACGGCTTTGTGTGCACGGGTGTTGTGTGTGCAAGCATGTTGCTGAGTGTGCAGAGCCTAGTGTGCAGGTGTGCACATGGGTGTTGTGCACAGGTGTGTCCCTGCACACGTCTGTGCACGGAATATGCGTGTCTTGGTGTGCACAGGATCTGTGTGTGCAGATGTACCTCCACATGTACATGGCTCTGCACAGGGCTGTGTGTGACAGGTACTGGTGGCACATACCTACATGTGTGCGCCCCGGCTCCACACGCGTGTCCCCAGGCTGGGCACGCTCGGGGACGTGGCTGCGGATACACATGCAACTGAATGCTGTCACAGCACAGTGTGTGTGCACACACATGTATGTCTGTGTGTGCACATGTGTGTGTATCGCTGAGCCCTGCTGGCTCGGGTACACCCGGGGTTGTGCACACGCAGTTCTTGCGGCTGAACAAGACACCAGGGCCAGGGCCAGGTCCCCTCCTTGTCCTTGTCCCCGCCATGTCCTCTGGCCACCACAGCTCCGGCCCCACCGGTCCCCATTTGCTGAGGCTGGAGCAGCAGAGCGGGATGGTCAGAGCCCAGCAAAGGGCACGGGGACGGCTCAGACCCGCTCGCCATCGCGCCGGGACAGCGAAGGGACATCCCAGCGTGGGTTCACCGCACCGCTGTGGGCGAAGGGCCCGGCTCTGGTTGCACTTGTCCCAAAATAAAGCTCTATTTTTGTCGTGTTCCATCCCGGTTCCTGGGTCATTCCCGGCCGAGGCCCTGAGCGGGGCAGGGAGGAGGGTGCTGAGGTGCT